CCCCCCCCCCCCACCACCACAGCACTGGGGTTACAGGCAAGCTCTTTTCTTTTTAAACAGGAGTTCTGGAGATCCAAACTTGGCTCCTCATGCTACAGAGCCATCCCCCCAGCCCCCAAAGCCTCTGAAGTGATGGCACTGGTGTCCCTTCAGTCTCTGCCCTCACTCAACCACCCAGGAGGTATTTACTGAGCAGCTGAAGTGTGCTCAGCACATGGCAGGCCAAGACCACTCCAGACTGGGAGCTAATGGGAACACCACAGACCACACACACACACACACACACACACACACACACACACCCCAGGGACCAGAACAGACAGACTGGGATGAGGGGGTCTTGGGAACTATGGAGCAGAGCGTGACTAAGTCTGGGGGTCAGGGTTGACCTCCTGCAAGAGGGACAATCTGATCTAGTTCTAATATATATAAGGGTTATGCAGGCCCTGGCAAGGAAAGGGACAGAAATGGAGGGGTGGGGGTGGGGGAGGAAGAGGATGCCCTTGGAAACGGAGGAAGAGAAGGCAGAGGAGCCTGCGTTGTAAAATGACCCAATGACTGGACAGGCATTCAAAGGTGGAATGACAAGAACAGGGGTGTGGAGGAGGGAGGTGAGTCCTTCAGTCTTGACCTGCCCCTTAATTGCCAGAAGCCTCCAGGGCTTCCACAGCTGCGGCTCACACTGCTGCTTAGGTCGACATCCTGTCCCTGTCAGGAGGATCTGCCATCTGACCTCGTCTTGGTGGCCACCCTGGGAGGCCTAGTGCTGCTCAGAGCTGTCTGCTTCTACTTAGTCCTGGCACTGAAGGTAATTCTGCCCCTCCCACTGGACCACCAGAGGACACCCTCTCCAGATCACTAGAGCTCAATCAACCACGTGAGCTCGACTTGCCTCACTCCACCAGGAGAATGAGCTCACTTTTTCCCCCAGCTTTATAGATGAGAAACAGAGACAGTCGAGACATTAGTTCCATGTCAGACAGCCAGGGAGCTACAACAAGTCGGATTCTAACAAAAATCCCACCGGCCCATGGGAAAGAATGATGGTGATCCAAGAGGTGCCCCTCTGACTCTCTAGTTTCCAAAGTGACAAGAGCGGCTATGAGTGCCGGGCTGCTGGGGCTCACTGTTATGTCAGGTTCGCAGGACCCCAAACAGACCTCCACAAGGAACCGACTCTGATGCAAAAGCAAAGGTTTCTGTATTGTTCAAGCCGGCTAGGGAGAGGCAAAGGTCCCTAACAATAACTGGGGGGTTGGGGGGAGGTATAGGGCAAGACCACAGGGCTGAGAGCCACAAGATTACAAAGTTTCCATGGTTACTCAAGGTTGTACAGAGTACAAAGCAAAGACAAGACTATATATTTTAGTAAGATACATTTGAACAAGATAGGGCAGGAGCATGGGGTCCAGGGGGCATGGAGGCAGGAGTCTGTCAATTATCCCCTGGGTCGGAGAATCTTTACAACTGGCAATTAGTGGCTATCTGGTTTTCTTTAGAACAAAGGAATGTTGCCACAGGTGGTGGCTCAGGCGCCCAAGAGCTGGGCTCAGGCACCTAGTCACGCACTCCCAGCTAAGGGGTCAAACTCCCCTTTATCATTAGAAGTTTCCTTTTTCTCTGCATAGATTCAGCAGCCCAAGGTTTTAAACTTGCATTAATTTTAATTTTTTGGTCTCTCACTCACATCTCAGTTTACCGAGGCTTTGGAGAAGTGGCATCCCCTTGGGGCTCAGTGTGCCGGCCTGAGAAATGGGGATTGTCATAACCACACCCAGCCCACAGACTTCAGGTGTCTGAACAGCCCTTTTGCAGAGATGGGCTTTGTGAGCGCCACTGTCCATCGCTCGTGTGTCCTGTTAGGGTGCAAACATGATGAGTAGGCATGCGCGTACCAGGGATGGGAAGTCAGGAAGGGGGTTGGGAGGTGTGGGACAGGGCCCAGGACCCACCCTGCAGAGAAAGGAGACAGCTGAACAAAGTCTTGAGTTAGAAGAGGGCTTTAGTGGGTAAAGTCGCCTGTGCCGAGCCTTGGGGGGGGGGTCTGAGTTTGATCTCAGGAACCTCATAGTGGAAGGAGACAGAGACAGAGCACACTCACTCCTGTGCACACAACTGAAAAATGTAAAATAAGAGTTAGGGCTTCTATGTATGACTTTGAAGGAGTCACAGAGCAATGCAGTGATGAGCTCTCTCCCTCTCTCCTTTC